AGATAGCATAATAACAGGAGTAAGGCACAGTCTCCAGCTATTCCGCTTGACAAACACTTTTCTGTGTAATAGAAGAACCTCACTGTTAGGCACACAGTCCAATCCTACATGATATAACTCAGAAGTAAGTCCTACTGAGTTTATAAAAACTTACACTCTTAACTGGCCACACAAAGCATAGAATCCTAAATGGGTGGGGGGGGGTGTATATACTGAAGGGAGGGCTGCAGTTCACAATATATTCTGGAATACCCCTCTTGATATGAACCTAACTAGCCCCTTAGATCTCCATCTGAGGCCCTTCTTCACATGCCCCTTCCATGAAATATCCGGAGGGTGGTCTTTTTTGCAGTGGCTCCCCATTTGTGGGATGCTCTCCCCAGAGAGGTTCACCTAGCACCTTCGTTACATATCTTTAGGTGTCAGGAGAAAATGTTTCTATATAGCCTTTGGCTGACTAAACATTCTGTGGTGTTGGGGGGGGGGTATTGGTTTGTTTTTGTTTTATTGTGTATTTTATGTCTTCATTTTGTATTTTTATGTTGTGAACTGCCCTGTGATCTTTAGATGAAGGGCGCTATGTAAATTTATTTAATAAAGATAATATCCATGTACCTGCAGGCAGCTGAGAGATCTGTAAGAAGAGGGCTGAGGGCAGACTGTGGCCACTGCAGTCAGCACACAGAGATGAAAGAGAGCTGTGTGAATGGGGTGCTGACTGTGTTGGTTGGGCCACCAGAGGGGAGAGTGTACCTGTATGTGTGCGTGTGCTCTCACCACAAGGCCCCTGCTTGCTCATGCTTTTGTCCAGGAAGTCTTGACTGCCTCCTCTCCGGAGGACTCTGGTGGATGGACGCTTGGCCAAGGGCCTGGTTTACAACTCAAGCCCATCTCTGCAGTGATATTGACAGATGCAGCAAATGTGTTGTTTATTTCTGGGAAAATGCAATGTGAGCAATTGCAATAAGATCCACGTATGCAAATTTATCACCTTGTATGATGGAATTAAATCAAGCATGCAAATCGTGCATATGAAAGTTGAAGGATGGGTTACATAAGTAGTAAAGGCATCAAAAAGTTGAACAAATAAAGGGGTACCAAAGATGTTCCTCATCTGGGGCATCCTTTTGTTTAGGGCTTGCCCCATCTGATCATCCCCCAGGTATCAAGCTGTTTTCAGTATGAAGATATAAGCAAAGACATGCGGAACATCTACCATCAAGAAATACATCCGCTACCACTTAAAGTAGACCAGCTAAAGAATACAAGGGCCCTGGGACAGATGACAAACACTGGGATGAATGACAAAAAATTGTAGGGGCCCTTTGTTTCAGGCCAAAGGTTGCATTCACTTCTGGACAACTTTCTGAAAGTTATGTGCTAGAAAGTGGGCAGGTCCAAAGGCAAAGTAAGACGAGCGCTGAATGTAAATTATAACTTTGTGCAGTAGGCTGATGTCTACACACATTCACACAACCCCTTTCTATCCTCCATCCAGGGGCGCAAGGGGCATTATCAGAGTTCAAAGATGCGTTCCAGATTGGCAAAAGAAACCACCTGCAGTGCAGAGCAGAGCTGGTGAGTGGTGAGGCCTGGGGAGAATTCCAGGGGCCAGGTAAGGAGCTCTGGAGGGCCATAGTCACTCCTAAGGCCTGAGATTCTCCTGCTTTAAAAGGACTATTAAAACATTTTGCTTAAATTGTTGAAATAATTCAAAAATTTAAATGCATTAGATTACTTGAGTTGGGTCATTTATCTTTTCTTTTGCTCTGATCTGGGTTTTTGTTTACTGGTTATTGTTGTTTTTCTTATTATGCACTGTGTTAACAGTTCTCCATTTCCCACAGTGTACAAATTAAGCTGCGCAGCTACAAATGTTCTGGCTACAGGAGTTCATTCTGAACCAAATAATTTGCGTTCTGCCAGCAGACCTCCTGCCAAATGCCATGAGTAGAATGAATCATGAAGGCTGTGCAAAACTGCAGTTACTTGTTGGCTGAAGCCTTGATGCCAGCAAAAAGGCAGGGAGACAAGAGGAGAGGGAGAACACAGGAATAAAGAGTCTACCTGTATCAGGCCAAAGACCATTCCACTCCCCACAGTGACCCACGAGTCCACCAGCAGGGCATGGGGAGCAATAACCTCCTTCCACTCTTGCTCCCCAGAAGCTATTATTTTGTGGCATGCTGTCTCTCTACATGGAGATTCCAAAGATGGCCAAGAGTTGAACAGACAAGTTCCTTTTGAATCTTGGCAAGCGGCACCTGGCTTATTTTTAGTTTAGGGGAAAGATGCCTTGGCAGGTGACGTGATAGGTAAAGGTAAAGGGACCCCTGACCATTAGATCCAGTCGCGGACGACTCTGGAGTTGCGGCGCTCATCTTGCTCTATTGGCCGAGAGAGCCGGCGTACAACTTCTGGGTCATGTGGCCAGCATGACTAAGCCGCTTCTGGTGAACCAGAACAGCGCACGGAAACACCATTTACCTTCCCGCCGGAGTGGTACCTATTTATCTACTTGCACTTTAACGTGCTTTCAAACTGCTAGGTTGGCAGGAGCAGGGAGCAAGCAACAGGCGCTCACTCCGTCGCGGGGATTCGAACTGCCAACCTTCTGATTGGCAAGTCCTAAGCTCTGTGGTTTAACCCACAGCGCCACCCGCGCCCCAGTGACATGATAGATGTCCATAAAGCTGTGCATGGAACTCATGGACAGCCAATGAAGCTCCATGTTGGAAGATCAATAAAAGAAAGTCCTTCTTCATGCAGCACATAGTTAAACTATGGAATTCCCTCCCTCATGAGGCAATGGTGGCCCCCAACTTAGGTGGCTTGGAAAGAAGACTGGATGGGGGGGAAACAGAGAGAGCATGAAAAATCAAGAAAATATCCCATACTCATACTTATTTATCACAGAATACCCACCAACTCTTGGGGGAAAGAACAGGAAAGGGGGGATAGGGTGGAATGGAATGTCTTAAAGAGGGCCTGGCTAACTGGCTAGCTGGAACACCGTACAGGAGTCCTCCAATGCAAATTTTGCTGCAGGCAGTTTCTACGTGTGTGTGTTTTTGTTGGAAGTGCAGGATGCAATTCAGCTTTCTGAAAGGGGTTTTCATGGGGTTAAAACTGATAGGGAAAGGAATCTCCAGTTCCTAAGCTGTCTCACTGCTCTTTGCCTGTGCTGACCTTTGCTTTGATACACATAGGTTGCAAGCTCTCACTACCATTTCCCTTAACACTTCTCCTTTGGGCCCTCTTGAGAGAGGTCACCCTTTGGATCTCTTTGTCTCCCCAGCTAGTTAAAAGGTAAAGGTAAAGAGACCCCTGACCATTAGATCCAGTTGCGGACGACTCTGGGGTTGCGGCGCTCATCTCGCTTTACTGTCTGAGGGAGCCGGCATACAGCTTCTGGGTCATGTGGCCAGCATGACTAAGCCGCTTCTGGCGAACCAGAGCAGCACACGGAAACGCCGTTTACCTTCCCACTGGAGTGGTACCTATTTATCTACTTGCACTTTAACGTGCTTTCAAACTGCTAGGTTGGCAGGAGCAGGGACTGAGCAACGGGAGCTCACCCCGTCACGGGGATTCGAACCGCCGACCTTCTGATCGGCAAGTCCTAAGCTCTGTGGTTTAACCCACAGCGCCACCCACGTCCCCCGCAGCTAGCTAGTTAGTTAGCCAGAATTAGAAAACTCTTTCCCACCCAAGCATTTATTTCCAGTAATAAACCTCTTTTGTGTCTTTCCTTACCAAGTGCTTCTGTTTGTAATTCTAACAAAGGTAAGCCTGCTTTGTCAATAATGGATTTGCAAGTGTTTAGCTTCAAGTCCTGTGCCAACTTTTATTTTAAAATGAGTATTATTGCCTGGTGTGTGTTGTTGTCCTTGCAATGGGTTTGACCCAGCACAACTTCAAACTCCAACTACAAGCTGTAATCTATCCCATTAGGGGAAACATATGAGTGCAAAGGGGATGGTCTGAAGGTTGCTGCCCTGCTGAATCTAAGCTGGGACAGATCTACACTTTTAAACATTAAGGAAACGTTAAGGAATGGTTTTGATAACGTACTATACATGGACTCATGACGTCCTACTTTTAATGTTCATAATGTGTTATTAAAATGTGACACCAGAGGGCGCTGCAGAGCAACCAGCAACCAGCAGCAGGGAGATCAGTGCTTTGACTTGGGGGGGGGGGTTAAAAATGTTTTTATTTACAAGTCTCCCTGTGACATCTTAGAACGACATATCTAATATCATTCTAACAACGTTAAATAGGTCGGTGTAGATCCAGCCCAGGTGCCCAGATGGGTGACTGACACCTTGGATTCAGTCATGAATTGGATTCCATGATGGATAAAAGTGGGATATAAATGAAAGAAACTAAGAGTTTGTGCACCCTTCTGCTTGTCCCATACCTGGAAAGCACAAATCTGAGCAATTTTCCCCTTGACCCACACTTTCTAGGCATGGGTCTGAGCTGCTTTCCTTGTGTCTAGCCCCTTTCCCCACTCTTTAGCTCTAAATCGGAACAAGCGGCTGTCTGCTGAAAACCCAATTGCTGTTCGCTCCAGCTGAGCCTTAAACGGTGGGGGCGGGGGGAGAAGCAGTGGGACAAGAAGAAGTGTGGTTAAGCCCTAAAGCTGCAATCAGATGTGGGGTTTACTGCATTCGTTTTCCTGGTTTCAGTGTTAGCGTTTTCTCCTAACTTCTAACATTCTGTTTACATTGTATATTACACTAAGTTTTAAATGGTTGGAAATAATCATATGCCAGGAGATCACTCTAGATTTTGCCATGTCAAATTACAGCACCAAACTTCTGTTAGTTAGCTGTGAACAGATCCCCCCTCCCGGAGACAATTAACATGAAAGTGAACACTAAACTTATGCTAGATGGCATTTGTGTCATGTGAAAGATCATACTGTTGTAAGCCAAAAATGGCTTATCTTCTGAGTTACACCAATAAAACTCAGAGACAAGACGAGTTAGGAATCTGTTGTTGTTTATTGCAAAGCAATAGATTACAGTCAAATCTTTTCGCAAAACTGCAACCCCGCCCAAGGGTCAGGGCGGTGGTATTTATAACATTTCAAACAAAGGATTTCAATTTTCACCAATCATGTACATCATTACCTCATTTCATGTTTACTACACATGTGCAATAAGCATTGCTAACTAAACTTTGATTCTCACTGTGATCTGTTACATTGTGTTAATATGCATGTTGGGAACATGTGTTACGTGTAGTCATTTGTACCATGTATGAACTTATGTTCTAAGTTATGAGCTATGTCTTCGTGATTTAGGTATTAGCTGTCCTTCTGTCTCAGTGGGGGGCGGCATCTTGCAAAATCATCAGTTTCTTAAAGCAGCAGGTTACTATAACTTCTCTATTAGAAGCATATTCAAGGATTTATAGGGATTCACATCATCACATTCATTATGGCCCTTTGGGCCACTACCACAATACAAGATGCAGACATCAACATTGGAGCGTCGAAATAAAATGTCATCTGAATGTATCCTTTTTTTAAAAAATGCACAACACACAAAATGAAAGTGATAACCATTAATTAATTTATGCACCACATAAATCCACAGCAGAGACCTACCCCAACCCCCTCCCCACTCCAACCCTGCTCTAAATATTGGCTTCTATTTGCAAATCTTCAGAGGAAGAAGTACTTCCAGACGGCCGCCTAGGCTGGATCTAGACCAGGGGTCCCCAACCTGTGGCTCATGGGCCAGAAGCAGCCCACAGAGGCCATTTAACCGGCCCACGAGCCGCCCCCAAACCGAGCCACCTATTTGGTGAGTCCCCGCGTGCTGCGCTAAACCGGCTCAGCACAGCATGGAGACTCCCTTGCACAGCACTGGAAATCGTTTCTGCACATGCCCAGACGCCAGAAATCACACTGCGCCGGTCCAGCCCACGGAGGATCTCTGCGGGAGTGATCTGGCCCATGCCCGGTAAGCCTTGCTGACCCCTGATCTAGCCCATGGGTAGGCAAACTAAGGCCCGGGGGCTGAATCTGGCCCACAGATGGTCCGGGAATCAGCGTGTTTTTATGTGAGTAGAATGTGTGCTTTTATTTAAAATACATTTCTGGGTTATTTGTGGGGCATAGGAATTTAATATATATATTTTTCAAAATATAGCCCAGTCCCCCACAGGGTCTGAGGGTCAGTGGACTGGCCCCCTGCTGAAAAAGTTTGCTGACCCCTGATCTAGACACATCAAAGAAGCAATTCAGTTAAACACGTTGTAAACTTCATACATGGAAAACCCATTGGCAAAAGACAGGACCCCACAGCGCCATCTGGTGTCAAAGTGTTATAACACATGTAAAGCACTTTATCTTTATGAATGTAACTGAGTTCCTAGTTTGCAAAATGAGTCATTGGTAACAGGTGGTGGTGGTTGCTAAACTGATTGGACTTTCCCTGGAAAGGGTTAGGGGAGTGTAATTATGGGCTGGCATTTTGATGCCAAACTGTTGTTGTAATGCCACAAGAAAAATCTTCAGTGCCTGAGAAGCGCTAATCCCACAATAAAGACCTATCTGAAGAAACACCTCGAGGTAAACTGCACAGGTTTCTGTCATAATGCATAGTTCGGCTCTTAAATAATTAAAAAATAAGGCTGACTTTAAAATTTGGATGTTCTGATTTGCTGTTGTTACAACCCTCCATAGAAAAATGAGCTATGTGTTGGAATTGAATTAAATCGCAGTTCTTTTTCACAGCACAGCTGAAGTGCTGGGTGTTTTGCTTCTGTGGGCGCTGTTCCTTCTGGGATTCTGCAACGAAGCTGAATTTGTAATCGTACAAATTCAGACTCTCTTCGCATCATACCTCTGGCAAATCAGGCAATACGTTCTGTGAATGAATGTGACAGTAGACAAGGCTAGTCTTCTTCCTACTGACTGTCAAATAAAGCTGAAGGGCATTAATGAGGCAAATATTCGCTGGTTTGGGAGCGGTGATGTGCTAGGTGTTTTCTGTTGTCTTAGAGACCTCTAGTGGGCAAAGCCATGTGCTGCAACATTTTCCTCTTCAACGCCTGAACTACAGTGGTACCTCGGGTTAAGAATTTAATTCGTTCTGGAGATCCGTTCTTAACCTGAAACTGTTCTTAACCTGAGGTACCACTTTAGCCAATGGGGCCTCCCACTGCTGCCGCATGATTTCTGTTCTCATCCTGAAGCAAAGTTCTTAACCCAAGGTACTATTTCTGGGTTCGCGGAGTCTGTAACCTGAAGCGTATGTAACCCGAAGTACCACTGTACTTTGCAGGGGTTTCACCAGCTATCCGGAAACACTTTCATAGGCCCAGCATGGGGAACGGCAGTTGTAAGGAACTGATGTTAGCCCTTGACTCTCCTTCACATGCAGCCCATACGTTTAGAGCACACAGATTCCCTCAAAGAATGTTGGGAACTGTAGTTCTGCCTTCACACAGCTACGAATCCCCAGCACCCTCAATGAACTGTACAGGATGTGCATGGAGATTCTGTTAGTTTAATTATTTTCAATTTTCAATTTATTTATCATTAGTCATTTATTGCATTTATATCCCAGGCTTTTTCTCCAAGGAGGTGAAGGTGGTGTGCTTGGTTCTCTCTTCCTCATTCAATCGCCACAACAACCCTTTGAGGTAGGTTAGGCTGAGAAAGAGCAGCTGTCTCAATGTCACCCAGTGAGCTTCGTGGCCAATTGCGGATTTGTGATTTTGTTACTTTTTATTATTTATTGTGTAATAAACTTGGTGTGTTGTTATGGAACATTCACGTCTTTGTCTTTAGCTATGCCCCCTACTCTGGGTACGTTATTTGCAGAAAAGGAACATAGAAATGAATATGTCTTGATTGATGGGAATATCACCATCAGCCCAGAGTTCTGTTTCCAGCAGCAAACAGCCACATTCCTGCCTAGTACCTCACAATAGGCGACTGTTTTTCCTCAGCATCCAGGGGTTCAATGGTAGGCTGCTCCTATATATGGAGTCACAATTAAACTATATTCTACTTTATTTAGCTTGTTTATTCATTTCAAAGCACTTCTAAACCACCTGATATTTTTAAAATATCTATGTGGCGTATGCTATCTACAATAAAAAATATAGATTAAAAGAAAAAATACGGCCTAAAATCAATTAAAAAACACTATAAAAGCATATAAAAGCTAATGAAACAAATAATGATTAATTTAATAAATAAGTGTTATTCTGCGGTGAAGCCTGCTTGTGCACATTCTCATACATTCCATCAGTTGAACAGATGAGATACGTCTTTTGATGAGCATAGAGGGTGGTTTTACACAGTGGTGGACTTGGATGTACCCTATGCAAGGCCGAAAGAGGGCACCCTCCCAGCTCAGAGCCCAGTGGGTGCACACCACTCGCACAGCCCAAAACCCGCCCCTGGTTGTACACATCCAAGGCCACTAGCTGCAACATGGAACTTTTTAAGCTCAGGGCTTACAGCCTGGTGGAGGCTACTGAGAGCGGGGCAGGAGGGGGAAAGTAGAAGGAGAAAGAGAAGAAGAAAGAGACAACTTTTAAAAATTAAAAGCGGGTCTGGTTTTGCAACTGATTTTGCACTGCAAGTCTGAAAAAGCCCATAGGATGCTATAAGAAACCACACAGCTCAATCTTGGGGGCATCTGCTCTGCGTGTAAAATGTCCCAGGTTCAATTCCTGGCATCTTACCCATTCCCCCCCCCTGATGTTCAGGGTGTAGGTGCCATTACTTATGCAGCCAAAATGGCACCACCCAGTCGTGTGACAGACCTGGGAGACTCCTAAACAACTGGAGCATGCTCAGTGGCAGCAGAACGTTGACTGGCTGTTATTGGGATCAATAGGAAGCTGGGTGGAAAGAGATGGACGGAATGGAGTTTCTTCGGAAAGGACTTGGCTCACTGGCTGGCTAGAATCTTGAGCACTGGCATGTTTCATTGGAAGTACCTCTTACCTTTTGTTTAAAAATGGGTCTCAAGTAGTATGGCTTGGAGAAGAACATAAGACCCTGCTCATCATAGGAGTGGAGGCACACCATGTTGACAACCCCCCAGAGTAGACAGTTCTGAACTGGGTGGCCCAATAGACTGACTCAACCTAAGGCCGTTGGCCACTGGACTGTCTACTATGATCGCCTTCAACTCTCCAAGACCATTTTTCTAGCCTTGCTACTACTTAAGGTTTGTTAAGCGCAGCAATGGGGTGTGGTTGGGCTGCAAATCCCATCACCCTTGGCCATTGGCTACACTGGATGGGACTGATGAGAGTTGGGACCCAAGCACATCTGGGAGGCCACAGGTTCCTCCCCCACCTCCCCACCCTGTTTTCTAACCAGTGGTGGCAAACTGAAGATGGGACGCTCCAGATCGTACAGAAGATAGAAGCAGCAGCCTATTCAGGAGGCATTTTAAACAAAAAACCATCACAGGCATTCCTCCTGACCAAACTTCCGCAATGATCAATAGCCTGAACACACGCTAATCCTATTATAGCAAAGAGGAACGAAAGCCAGTGATGAGAAAATGATTAGACCATCCAGTTCAATCAGCTAATCTGTTTGTCTTCCTCATCCCTGCCCTTGATTACGTTTCTGAAACAAGGTTCCAATGGAGGCGGCAAAGGCAAAGCCACGCGTCTTCCACAGCTCCTCGTAATGAAGGCTCCCTCTGCGCACAGGATCACATCCGTCTTGCTGTGGAATATTCAAGAGAACTCGAGTGAGGGGAAGCAATTCCCTTAGCAGAAGATCAAACTAATTTTAAAGTGCAGGGAATGAAATACATGGAATTCATCCAGAGTGGAGGAGTAAGTTATCCCTGGAATGCAGAGAGAGCCCCACAAAGGAATTGACAATGCCACCGCTTATTCCACACTTATGCGCCAGTCCTGTATGCCCAGAATGTTGTGCTCGGGTCCTGTTTGCAGGTTTTCCACAGGCATCTGGTTGACCCCTATGAGAACAGAATGCTGGACTAGATGGGCCATTGGGCTGACCCAACAGGACTCTTCTTGCACTGTGATGTGTGGATAAAAGGGAAAGCACAATGCCTGCTGCTCTGAGTGCTCTGCAGAGAGGACAGGATGGAAACATAATAAATAAATGTTGGAAAGTGCTTTTTAATGGATCAGATAGAGGTTATAAGGAGACACTCTACAGACTGCGGATTCCAGATTTTCCACAGGGCTTTGCCTAAGAAGTTGTTCCCAGTGGACGGTGCACTGCCCATCATCTGTTCCAGAACTATATATTTATTTGTTTCATATTCTCCCAGAGCTGACATTCTCTCCAGTCGAGAGAGAAGACTAGCCTGCAGATATCAAAACAAGCCTTGCCACTATGTGATTAAATACTCCTGTTTTAATTAGCCAATCTGCTGGGGAGAAAAAGCGCTGCCCAGAATCGGCTACCACTCCTGTGGCCGCAACCAACAAGGAGGAAAGCATCTTTGGCAGAGTCAAAGCATGCGAAGAAGAGATGGCCCTGCTTCACAGTGGCTGAAGAGAAAGCACCTTCATAATGAGGGCAGCATCAGAGGCGAGCCCAGAGAGCAGAGAAGCCGGATATGAAAGAAGATGAAGGGAGCAAAGAGAAAGAGATGCTGGCTCCGTGTTTCAAAGGGCTTGGAGCAAGCTTTTCTCTCTTTCTCTCAGACTGGAGAATGGAGGGAGCACAAGTCTTTCATTAAGGCTGAAGCCCACCTTTCCAAGCCCACATTCACACCATACATTTATGATACCACTTAAAACAGTCATGGCTTCCCAAAAAAAATTATGGGAGCTGTAGTTTGCTAAGGGTGTTAGGAGACATCTATTCTCCTTCCCAGAATGGTTTAATGATCAGTTGCTCATCACAGGGACCTCTGGAGATTGCAGCTCTTTGAGGGGAAATAGAGGGTCTCATAAGAACTCTCAGCACCCTTGTGTGCCACCACTACAGAATTTAAATTAGCCACTGTGGGAAACAGACTGCAGGACTAGGTGAATCTTTAGGCTGAAATCCAATGTTCACTCACTAGGAGTATATCCCAGTGAAAAGGATCCAGTGGTTTCAGTAGAAGGACACAAGTTAAGCATGCATCAGCAGCATAGTGCAGCCGCTAAAATGTGATTCTAGGTTGCATCATTGGAAGCAGGGTGCCCAGATCACAAGAAGTAACATTACCACTCTGGTCTGCTGTGGATAGAATTATCCAAGTGTATCATGTCCAGTTCTTGACATTGCAGTTTAAGATACTGACAAACTAGAACATGTTCAGAGGTGGACAACAAAGATGGCAAGGGCTCTGGAGTCTTGAGTCCAAGTGGAAAGGTTGAAAGAGCTGCGTATGTTTAGCCTAGAGAAGTGACTGCTAAGAGGCAATATGACAGCCATCGTCTTCAAATATCTGAAGGGCTGCCGCATAGACAATGGAATGAATTAATGAATGTTAGAAAAATGTTGGAATGAAGTTACATGGCTTTAGTAGAAACGTTATAAGGAATTAAGTTAAATAGATTAATAGAGTATTAAAGGGAAAATAAGGTTAGAATGAGTTAAGATAATTATAGGATAGAAAACAGAGGAAGATGGAAAGGAATTGCTGAAATAATTAATAGAAGTGGAATACAAAAAGGGAGGTGTGAGGAGGTCGTGGAAATAAGTGAATGAAAGATGGGATAATGAAATTGTTTGATTTATTTTATTGTTTTTGTTTTAATGTATTACATTGTAATGTATTGCATTGTATTGACTTTTTAGTGTTTAAGTTTTTGGAAAAGTAATAAATATTATTTATTTAAAAAAAAAAAAAGACAATGGAATGAAACTGTTTTCTGTTGCTCCAGAGGGTAGGACCCCAAGCAATGGGTTCAATGGGTTCAAATTACAATGAAAGTTTTTTTTTTAGACAAAGGTCACTTCCAGACTGTTGCTGTTTTTGGATGGAATTTAAACACATGCTGGCAAATTCAGGTCACTCAGTTAAACCCATTTCCCCATTCTGACAATATGAGCCATGACAGTGGAAGAGACCATGCTGGAGTCCTGGATTTCCTGCCCTGGCAAGAAGGTTCGACTAGACAACTTTTGGAGGTGCCTCCCAACTCTATGAATCCAAGCATAGGATTGCACTCTTAATCCAATCCAATCTTCTTCTGCTCTTCAATAAGTGCAGGCTTGTGTGGCGAGTTTACACTGCAAGGTCCACACAAGCAATCACTATTGATTTAAAACACTCTGCCTATCCCACACGGAAAGAGATTATTTATTTAGTTATTTATGAAAAAAGAAGCTGCAGCTGTATTTTTCATGTAAGTCGTGCCAGGATGAACAGCAGGCATATAATAAAGCCCTAACTACAGCTTGCAAACTGTAAAAATGTCCCAGAACTCTAAAAGCAGCAGCAGCATCCTCTGCCACATCCAAGATCCCTCTGTTAGAAGAACAATAATTTATTTATTTTATTTAAAAGCAAGCTCAAAGGGGCAGGGGAATCAATCTTGGACATGTTGGGGTTTTTGTTTTTTTGTTTTACACAGGAAAGAATAGAAGAGCTACTGTGATTTTAGAAAGCAGAGATTGGAGCTCATCTCACTCACACGCTGCTTTTTTATTAACTGAAGCCTGTTTGTTGACTCTACTTTTTTTTTTTTTTTGCCTTTGCCTCCTGCTTAACTCAACAGTCTCCAGTGTAGCTGTTCCTAACCTGCCAGACAGGTAGCAAATCCCGCTGATGCAGACGTATGCCTTGCGCTCCAGCTGTTGCGAAGCTGTCCTGGGGAAGAGGGTCAATGGCGGCATCTCATTTATTTTATGACACTTGGTTTGCATTTCTCTCCCTCTCCTGCTCTCTCTCTCTCCAAGCCGTCTGCTTTTATTGCTCTCACTGTGCTGCCTTGTTTGTTATTGCAGACCATCTTGACCTGAAGAATACATTGCTTACCGTGGCGCAGGCAGAGCTGGAGCGCTGCCATGCTCAAACTCCCATCCTTCCTGACCACGTTTTTAAAAATTATTTCTTTCTGGGGAAACAACAACAAGAAGAGGAAGTTCAGATTAATGAACATGCTGTAGCAGCGGTGCTCCAGAACTTGAAAATCCTTCTACTCCTGGTGAAGTGGTTTACAAGCACATCCCATGTTGTGGGAGACATGACAAAAGACTGCAGCCCACGTTAGTACTACTCAGGGTAGACCTACTGAAATTAATGCACATGAGTTAATCATGTCTTTTAATTTAAGTGAGTCTACTCTGAGTAGGACTGGCATCAGCTACCACCCAAAGTAAAAAAAATAGGAGTTCCTACTAGATATGTGTGCGGGTCACATAGGAAGGTAAACAGTTTGTTTGTGGTTTGTGAGGGTGTATCTCAGGTAGAAATCACGATGACAGTAAATGCACACCACTTCCTGAGTCAGATTGCTGTGTTTCTGTGCTGTGTTTACTGTATATCTCTGTGCTTCTCTGTGTCCATGAAAGTGAGGCTGTCCAAAATGCTTCCTGCAGAGCACTGAAGAGAAGATAGAGAAAGGTAAATCCCTTTTACTTCCCCAATTAAAAACAAAACAAAACACTGGATCTATTTGTCTGCAATTTGTCAGGCTCAGTCCACTCTGGAGAGGCTCCTGTGCTGGTAAATTCCATCCACTTTGGCCAAACGTGGGGGGGGGGGACTGTTTTAGATTCCCTAATATGGTGAATGAGTGAACACAGAACTTCATTTTATACAAAGCGGCTTAGCACCTGAAACACATCAATGTGGCAACAGTACAGAGTGACTCATAAACAGATCGGGATATTCATAAAAACATAGGTGCAAGATCTTTTTCTGTGCATTTCTTTTTCATTAGTTGGCTTCAGTTTCTCACTCTGACCCTGTGATTCTGCCTGCAAAACTCTGCTGTGTAAACTACCAGGAGGAATAAGCAGAAGTCAGCAGAGCTGCCGGATGGTTTGTGGAAATCCTAGGAAATCCTGAAATCAAAGCAGCAACCAACAGCATGTATTAAATATGGAGATGGAGTAAGACATGGGTTCCAAATACAGTGGTACCTCGGGTTACATACGCTTCAGGTTACAGACTCTGCTAACCCAGAAATAGTACCTTAGGTTAAGAACTTTGCTTCAGGATGAGAACAGAAATCGGGCTCCGGCGGCGCGGCAGCAGCGGGAGGCCCCATTAGCTAAAGTGGTGCTTCACTTTAAGAACAGTTTCAGGTTAAGAACAGACCTCCAGAACGAATTAAGTACTTAACCTGAGGTACCACTGTACTGTTACTTTCTCTTAGCCTAAACCAGATTTTTATTAATCACAAAAAGCAAATAAGACAATCCAAGTTTAAGTTTAACCTATATATTGTAACTCAGTTGGTAGAGCATGAGACTCTTAAGCACAGGGTCATGGGTTTGAGCCCCATGTTGGGCAAAAGATTCCTGCATTGCAGGGGGTTGGACTAGATGACCCTTGTGGTCCCACCCAACACTACAGTTCTGCATTTTCAGAACTGCAAATTATTAAAACCTCACACTATAAATTCCCAAAAATCATTAAGATGATAAGAAAAAAAAATCCCTTGGCAATCAATACCCTAATGGGGTTTTGTTGTTGTTGTTGTTTTGTTGTTGCTTAAAGCAGGCTGTTATCTTTTGCATTGCTAGTGCATATATAGGTAAAGGTAAAGGTAAAGGTACCCCTGACCAACAGGTCCAGTCGTGACCGACTGTGGGTTGCGCGCTCATCTCGCTCAAGAGGCCAGGAGCCAGCACTTGTCCGAAGACAGCTTCCGGGTCACGTGGCCAGCGTGACTAAGCCACAGCTGGCAAGCCAGCACCAGCGCAGCACACAGAAACGCCATTTACCTTCCCACTGGAGAGCGGTCCCTATTTATCTACTTGCACTTTGGGGTGCTTTCGAACTGCTAGGTTGGCAGGAGCTGGGACCGAACGACAGGAGCTCACCCCGTCGCGCAGGGATTCGAACCGCCGACCTTTCGATCAGCAAGTCCTAGGCACAGTGGTTTAACCCACAGCGCCACCCGCAGTCCCATAATTCATATATAGCTACCCTACATAGGTCTTACTCTAACCAACCTCACGAGGTTGTTTTGAGGATAAAATGTGATATGCCCTGAGCTCAACTCCTTCAGGCAGGGAGACGGTTCCTTGGCTGCAAAGTCTGAAGCATGAAACCAAGACAGAGGGTGGATCTGTGTAAAACAAATAAGGACAGTGCAGCAGCAATTCCATTTATCTGGATTTTCTCTGCCCAAAGACACTCTGCCAAAAGGCTGGAAACGCAGGCAAGATTTTTGGAGGCTGACTGTGGCTCTGTGGGAGAAGCAGGAGAGATGGCTGGGAGTTTCAGATAATAAAGATAATAACAGTGATAATGGCGATAATGACGGTGATAACACTGTGGGTACTCGAATGGTATCATTACTTTTATTGTGAGTTACATTTGTTATGTTATGCAGCTGCAGTACATTAATGGCCCGAAAGGGAGAGAGCACAAACTCTCTTCCGCTTTATAAACGTTTTCTTGTATGATCACCTGGATGAATTTTGTCACTTGCTACAGTAAAATGGGGGTTTTGCGGCCCTCCAGGTGTTGCATAGAATCATAGAGTTGGAAGGGACCCTGAGGATCATCTAGCCCAACCCCCTGCAATGTAAGAATATGCAGGAATATGAAGCTGCCCCATATGGGGATCAAACCTGCAACCTTGGTGTTATCAACACTATGCTTTAACCAACTGAACTATTGCCGTTGAACTCAAACTCCAAATGGCCTCAGTTAGTATGGTCAATGGACAGGGATGATGGGAATCGTGGTCCGACAATCATCTGGAGGATAACAGGCTCCTTAGTCCTGTGCTACAAACAACCAGGCTTAGACATCAGCCTTCTCTAACTTGCTTCCTTCCTGGTGCTTCAGGTGCCCTCAGTCCCATGGTCCCAGCAATCATGGCTAATGATCAGGAATGGTGGCATTTGTAGCCCAAAACAACCAGAAGGCACCTGGTCAGGGACGGTTCTTGTATACATGAACCTACCTTAAGAAAACAGAGGTTTGATGCCGAAGAGAAAAATGCTTTTTTGCTCACCGTATTAAAGGTAGTGAAAACCATCGTCTGAATTATGTGCTATGGGGCTGCTGTCCTCTGGTGGAGAATCACATTTCTTCATGTTCCTTTCTGAATCAAATTCAGTTTCAGAAATACAAATCTCGATGAAATTAAGCGCAAGGGTGTCCGCGTTAGGACTTCAGTGAAACAAAGCAGCGCCTCCAAGGAATGAAATGTCTGCAATTGAAAGCAGCATGAATCTGGATACTGGTTATTGGAAACAGCAGGAACGGGAGCGCCTGCTTGCAGACTTCCCAAAAGACATTGCTTGGTGAGAACAGGATGCTGGACTAGAGAGGCCATTGGGTCTTCTCCAGAAGGCTCTTCTTATGTTCTGATGTTCTTATGAAAATTCACACCCTTACAGAGATTGCAGCCACTCCCAGGAAATCTGGCTGGTCCTCAGCAACATATTAAAACATAAGAGCCACCCCTCTTTCTGAAGACCCAAAGTGTTCATTCCAATACAGTGGTACCTCTGGTTATGTATTTAATTCATTCCAGAGGTCTGTGCTTAACCTGAAACTGTTCTTAACCTGAAGCACCACTTTAGCTAATGGGGCCTCCCGCTGCCGCTGCGCCGTCGTCGCACGATTTCTGTTCTCATCCTGAAGCAAAGTTCTTAACCTGAAGCACTATTTCTGGGTTAGCAGAGTCTGTAACCTGAAGTGTCTGTAACCCGAGGTACCACTGTATCCTGTTTCTCACAATGATCAGGCAGCTGCTTCTGGGAAACCCACAAGCAAGGCATGAAGGCAGCAGACTTCTCTGTGTGTGGGTGTGGGTGTGGGTGTGGGTGGGTGGGTGTTTACATGCACTGCCTCTGAACCTAGCAGTTCTATTTAACTATTGTACCTCACAGTTATCTATAGTCCTATCCTCCACGGGTAGAGAATTCAGCAGCACTGCAGCTTAAATAGGGAGGAACTTGGGGTCCTCCAAATGTTGGACTGTAACTTCCACCAGCAGTGGCTGTTTAGCTATACTGCATGAGGCCAATGGGAGCAAAGTCCCACAGTATCTGGGAAGCCACGGGTTCCTCCTCCTTGGGTTAAATCAAAGCTGCACTTCTTTTTACATACTTACTTGGGAGTAAGTACCGTTGAGCACAGCTGGAGTTCGATTTCAGAATAAGCATGCAAGAGGGCTGCGCTTCATGTGTCTTAAGGTAAAGGGACCCCTGACCCTTAGGTCCAGTCGTGACCGACTCTGGGGTTGCGGCGCTCATCTCACTTTACTGGCCGAGGGAGCTGGCGTACAGCTTCCGAGTCATGTGGCCAGCATGACTAAGCCGCTTCTGGCGAACCAGAGCAGAGCACGGAAACGCCGTTTACCTTCCCGCCGGAGTGGTACCTATTTATCTACTTGCACTTTGATGTGCTTTCGAACTGCTAGGTTGGCAGGAGCTGGGATCGAGCAATGGGAGCTCACCCCGTCACGGGGATTCGAACCGCCGACCTTCTGATCAGCAAGCCCTAGGCTCTGTGGTTTAACCCACAGCGCCACCCGCATCCCTTCATGTGTCTTAGAACAGCATTAAAACTGTCGTGAATGGTACCATAACCATTCCTGCTTCCTCTTCAATGAATGGCCTGGATTTGACAAGGCCAAACCAGCCAGTTCAGCCTTCCTGAAGCATAAAACTCAAATTAATGGCATCACTTATGCCGTTAGCATTTCTTTATGGGCCGTTATGCACAGAACATTAGTTGTAACCAAACAGAGGAGCAACCCTCTGAGAAGCAAACAAGCACCACTTTCCTGGTGATTAAGATGAAGTTCTGTGCAGAAGTATTATTAATAATATTTGCTATTTTTTCAGATTCTATATAGCACCCTTCCTCCCAAAGGAGCCATAAAACAATACAATAAAAATAAAAACAATCACATGTTCTCACAGCTAATAATGTCAAGGTTGCTACGAACAGAAACTTTCCATCATCAAATACACCGGTAAACAAGGTAGTGTTTGAATTTCTCCAGAAGTGAATAAAGTGGAGACAGGCGTATCTTACCAGGGAGGGCATTCTACACATAGGGAACCACCACCAAGAAGGTCCTGTAATAGGCCAGTGCAAACAGATGGTTGATATTGGGCAAGTGCTGCCCATGGCACACTCCATTGCCTCTCGAGACAGACGGATGCCCACAACTAGTAGTGAAGTCATACCTCATGTTACGGACGCTTCAGGTTACGTGTTTTCAGGTTACAGACGGCGGGAAACTCAGAAGTACCGGAACAGGTTACTTCCAGGTTTCACCGCTCATGCATGTGCAGAAGCTCCGAATCGCTCTGGTGCCTGCGCAGACACGGCGCTTCAGGAAGCGAACGCTGTGGGTTGTGGATGTGCCTCCATCACGGATTACATCCGCAACCCGAGGTTCCACTGTACTGCTACAGAAAGGAGATGAGATTTCAGTGGAACAGAGAAGTTAGGGGGAAGGCCTGTGGATGCTTTCCAAAAAGGGTGCATCCCTTCTTGCAGTCCTAAAGGGCAGCCCCAAGTCCAAGGTGGGGTTCAGTCGTAAAGCCAACAACTCGTGGGCCTTGAACAGCTAGAGACGAGCCCCGAGTCAGATGCACACAGAACCACACCAATATCCCTGAGGAAGCAACTTACTTGTCCGAGGGTAAATATCAGACAGACTCTACAGGTTGCTCCCCCATATATTGGGCCGACTCCCCAGCTTAGTTACCTGGAATGTCCTGGAGCCATCAAGGCTACTGCACAAAGGGTGTGTGATTAGTTCTCTCTAGAAAAGAGGGGGAGCTTGATGTAGCTGGGGAGGCGGGGATTTACTATCTGACTCCTGAATTTGACTGCAGTTTATGGACTACCCTTGGTTTGCATTTCATCTGCAAATGCAGCCTTCGAGACCCAGGTGTGGAGCAGAACTCAATGAACAAAGATACATGTACATTGTGGATGGTTTTGACTGAAATGCTTTTTCTCTAAGACAAAGTGTAACCTGGGACTTTTGCCATGCCAGTCCCCCCTAAGAAAACTAACAGTAGCCAAAATGAAAGCACAAACACACACACACACACATATGGAGCAGGAATCAATGGGTTTGGGGGAACCCTATGATTTGTAGCAAAAAAAGTCATAGAAAAAACTAAGGGGAATTTCCCTTCCCCCCCCCCCAAAAAAAAACCCAGCAAGCTCAGGAGGCACAGAATGCTGACTATGGGAGTGGAGAGAAGAAAATGTATTGGAGTGTCCAGATAGAAGGTGTGGCCTGTTAGACCCTGACCAGAAGCATACCATGCTGCAACATTTTATTGCAGGTCCCATTCATAAGGAAAGAAGGGTACCCAATGTAAGCTGAGGACTGGAACACCTTCCTTACAAGAATAGGTTAAAGCACTGACCGTTTCTTGTGTGTGTGGTTTTTTTTTCTTTTTAAGTGACCAGGAAAGATCACACGAGAGTGGTTTATAAAACTATGCAAGGTGTGCAGCAGAGAAAGCAGACAGAGAGAGGCTCATTTCACTCTCCCACTGCACTAGAGCTTGGGGTTATAGAAATGTGAGAGCCCTTCTGCATCAAGGCAAAGGCCCATCTAGTCCGGCATCCTATGGGAAGCCTACAGGCAGGACCTGAGAGCAATGGGACCCTCCTTACTCGTGTTCCTCAGCTACTGGCATTCAGTCACCCAAGGAAACTGACTGGCCGTGGACTCAAGGGAAAGAAAAGAAGGTTTGTGTGCATGTGTTTTACTTACCTTTTCATAGAAGCCTCCCCACTACTACTACTACTACTACTACTGCCACCTCCCTTCTTTTCAATGCTGCTTCACACATGGCAGCAAATCTTGGACAGGAAATACATACAAGGTGTTTATGGAAAGATGGGGTGCAGAAATTTTTAATATAAAGATTGATTTGCAGAATTCACTGCCATAAAATGTAAATGGTGTCCGCTAATCTTTAAAAGACTACTAGTCTTTAAAAGACTACTAGTCGAGTTCAGAAAAGATGTCACTCAATAGCTCAATGGTCATTGCAAAGGGGAGGATCTTTATTAAGAAGAAGAGGAGTTTGGATTTGATATTCTGCCTTTCACTCCCCTTAAGGAGTCTCAAAGCGGCTAACAATCTTCTTCCCTTCCTCCCCCACAACAAACACTCTGTGAGGTGAGTGGGGCTGAGAGACTTCAGAGAAGTGTGACTGGCCCAAGGTCACCCAGCAGCTGCATGTAGAGGAGCGGGGAAGCGAACCCAGTTCACCAGATTACAAATCCACCGCTCTTAACCACTACACCACACTGGCTCTCTAAAGAACTAAAGAATACTTCTTTGGTACACAAGAACACAACACATTTTAGATTTGGCTCCAAGAGCCGCTACAATTCAAGACACGTCTTTGGGTATAACACAAAGTTCTGTATGTCTTTTACTACTTGAGCAGCAATGTCTTACAGAAGAGGACGTGAACCCCAAATTCTGTGCTCCCAGACGCTGCAAACCTTTTTGGCCAAGAAGCCGTGCATGTCGCTTCTGTACTTGTTATGGTCTTGACTGGGATCACTCGCTGTGAAATACAGCTCCCCTCCGTGGACGTCGTTCAGATTGACTGTGAAGTTGCTGGGGTTGAACCCAAGCCACAGCGTACACCTGTAGTCAGCAGTACGTATAGAATAACCCATCACTTTTATGTCCTTAAGCAGAGGCAGATCAGAGTTCCAATCCGGAGTGTCTCCTGGGCGGGGATACTGGCTGAAGGCAACTGGAGGATCTGAATCCTTTGCTCCTTTGCTGTTGTTTTCTTGGCCTCCATGGATGGATGGGAAATAACGCAGCAAGCTTTGCCCCTCAGCACACAGGGGGATGTGAAATGAAGGCTGGGGACATACAGGGGGGATTTTTAATCCAGCGAGCTCAGCGAGCGTCGGGAAGAGGGACACCAGCTCAACAATTTCTCCGGATTTGCCTAGGAGGGAGGAAGCATTAAGGAAAAGGTCAGAGAGCATCCAAAGAGTTCAGCAGATCACGTCCAGCTGCTTTGAATTAATTAAATACTGCAAAAAGAAAGAAAAGCCATGCCTATTGCCTAAGGAGTAAGCCCTGCTGCTGCTAAATTAGTACTAGCAGAATAAGTGTTTCTATGACTATCTGAGCGTTCCGCAAAAAATCAATGAGTTGCATCTCTCAGCTCAGGAGTAAAACAAGACTTCTTCCCATAAAAACCTGAGGAACCTAATTACAGGTGTCCAGTAAACTCCCTGTTCTAACTCAATGGTTATGTCAGTCCTGGGTCTTTGCAATTCTGGGCAAGTTAACTGAACAGATCATAGTAGCGGGAGGCAAAACAGAGAGGAAATGTCAACTTTCTAGAAATTGGGTCACTTCACTTCAAATGGTGATGTGAAAAGGGAAAGTCATTTCCAAAGTTCAAGAGTTGCTTTTATATTGTTACTGGTGTTACGTTCATGTTTTCCAGTCGTCTAATGTATTTGGGCAGGAGCTGGGACTGAACAACAGGAGCTGGCCTATAGAGCGAGATTAGTGCTGCAATCCCAGAGTCGTCCACAACTGGACCTAACGGTCAGGGGTACCTTTACCTTTGATGTATTTGGGAGTGTGGCGCTGTGGTGTAAACCACTGAGCCTTGGACTTGCCAATCAGAAGGTTGGCAGTTCGAATCCCCACGACGGGGTGAACTCCCGTTGCTTGGTCCCAGCACCTGTCAACCTAGCAGTTTAAAAGCACATCAAAGTGCAAGTAGATAAATAGGTACCGCTCCGGCGGGAAGGTAAACGGCATTTCCGTATCCTGCTCTGGTTCGCCAGAAGCGGCTGGGTCATGCTGGCCACATGACCCAGAAAAACTGTCTGCAGACAAACGTCAGCTGCCTTGGCCAGTAAAGCGAGATGAGCGCTGCAACCCCAGAGTCATCTGCAATTGGACTTAACTGTCGGGGTCCTTTATCTTTTTTAATGTATTTGGGGATGGGGGATTGGGTGGGATGGAGGATTTCAAGAAATACTAACAACAGTCGGGGTGGGGGGGTGGGGGGTGCGTGCGTGCGCCCAAATGTTTAAGCATTTCTGTATCATGTGTTTTGCTTATATACTGACATCGTGCCATTGTGGTATTTTAAAAGTTGAAACAAATTTGATTTTTTCAAAAAGCAACCCAGGTATTTAATATGCTATCATTAATTGAACTGTGTTGCTACTAGTGCTTTTGGATTGTAGTTATGGGATTTCGTGAGAATTTTATGGCTTTGTTCTGCTAGGTTTTAATACTGGATTTTTATATGGCATTGCTTCGAGTAATCACAACACTTTGAGAAGGACAGTAAAAAAAATCCAGTATTTAAAACGGCACACACAACAGCTATGGATGAGTAGAAAAACATATCAGGTTGTGCTGTCATTAAGTAAAACAATTAAAGAGGCATAAATGTGCATAAGTAAAATAATGATTTTGAAACGAAACACAAAGCATCATCTTGGAATAGGGATTCCTTCCTGTGAAAGAGAGTGAAACGGCTCTGAAGATGGCCCTCTACGGTGCTTTGTAGAAAAATATTTTTATTTTAAAACATTAATGTCTGTATGTTTAAAACATTAATGTGTGTAATGTGTCCACTTAACCAGGGCACCTTCGTTGCTGACCAAACGGTTTGTTGCCTTGCTTGTTTTAAAACGAGTCAACCAAATAATCAATTAAATGTTGCAGCCCAAATATTTACAACATTAATTAAACTCTGAAGATTTACCTTGTGCAACAGGGCTTGAATCCTGTGTGAAGGGATCGATGAAAGGAAAAACCCTCTCTCCCAGGTGAGAGGTGGGGACTGTCATTCCTGGAACATAGAACATCAGTGGCACCCGGGTCGCCACATCGAAGTTGCTGTATTTCGCCCATTCGCCATGTTCGCCCAGTGACCAGCCTAGACAAGATCAAGAAACATTGAAGGAAGAGCATCATCTATGTGTTGGGGGGTGGGGGGGGACACGAATGTTCATTGGTAAAGCAGATGCTAAGGTTTTTCAATCAACTATCTCAGAACCCACAAAAACAAGCTTGTTAAACAGCCACTTACCTGATTGGTGAGGAACCCTTGGGGAACTCCCATTTCCCCCCATAGACCACTTTAACTTAGTCATTTATTAATTACAATATTAGTTGCCTAATTAAAAAAAATATCCCTACATAGTATGTGAATAAAAAGTGCAGGGAAGTAGCAAACTGCCTTATATAGAGTTGGGCACTTGACCTGCACCAGGAATGAGGAACCCACGGCCCTCCAAATGATCCTGGACTCCCAACACTTATCAGCCCCTGCCAGCCAATAGCCAGGGATGGTGGAACTTGCATCAAAGGATATATCTGCCAGTATTGGGCTAGGTCAAGGATAGGGAACCTGTAGTCCTCCTGATGCTGCTGGACTCCAAATCTCATGTGCGCCAGCTAGCCTGGCAAATGGCTAGGAATGATGGGATCTGTAGTCCAGTAACATGTGAAGGACTAGAAGTTTCCCATCCCTTCACTGAACAAAGAGCCTGACCCAGCAAAAAAAGAGGTGATGCCATGTAACAGGTGTAGGGAACCTTTGGCCCTCCAGATGTTGCTGAACTGCAGCTTCCACCATCCCTGGTGATTAGCCATGCTTGCTGGGTCTGATTCGAGTTGCAGTTGAACAACATCTGGTGAGCCAATGGTTCCCTACCCCTGCGATATATGAAGATGCCAATTCTTTGTAAGAACGCAAGAGCCCTGCTAGATCAGGCCAGTGGCCAATTCAGTCCACGTCCTGTTCTCAAAGTGGCAAACCAGAAACCCATGGGAAGCCCTCAAACAGGACCCAAGTCCATCAGCAATGTCCTAATCCTGATTCTAGGTGACTTGTATTCAGAGGTAAACTATCTCTGGTCCTGGAGGCAGTTACTATATATCCTTCATGACTAATAGCCACTGATACCCATTGATTTCCAAACTTTTCATGTTGGTGACACACTTTTTAGACAGGCATCATCTCGCTATCCAGTGATTCAGTTTTACTAGCAAACCGGAGGTTAAACTAACCCCTTCCCAGCCCCAGGAAGAGCATTCATGCAACACAGCTGCACACTGCAGGTGACACACTAATGTGTCACGACACAGTGTTTGGAAAGATCTGTATTAATATGTCAACAAGACAACTTACCGTGGTCTGCGGTAAACACTACGATTGTGTTGTGGGACAGCTCCATGTCATCTAGGGCACTTAGCAACCTCCCAACCAGCGTATCCACGTAAGAGACAGATGCAAAGTAGCTTTGACGAATCTGCCGCTGCAAAAAAAATTAGAAAAGCATCCATGGACTATCTATAAGGACTATCTAAAAAGCATCTATAAGGACTCGGGGCATAGCTGTCAACCTTCCCTTTTTTTGCGGGAAATTCCCTTATTCCATCACCGTTTCCCGCTGCTTCCCGCTGCTATCCCGGATTGTTAGATATCCCGTAGACTGTCCCCGGGACAGGTGAGGCTGCTGATCCCTTATTTTCAAGGCTGCTGATCCCTTATTTTCAAATCTGAAAGTTGACAGCTATGACTCGGGGTATTTTTCACACTGAAGACCTGCTTGCAACCTACTTGCCCAACTTATTATACCAAGGTTAGGGAAGTTGTGACCTACTGAACGGTGTTGGACTACAGCTCCCATCATCCTTCACCACTGGCCATGCTGGCTGGTGCTGATGGGAGTTGTAGTCCTGTAATATCTGGAAGGGACACAAGTGGCTCCATCCCAGTATTAATAAGGAGCTTTTGTCTGTTATTAGATCACAACAGAGGCTCTGTGTGTGTCTGTAATCAATATTATGTTATTTCTCCATACTAAGGACCAACCAGGTCACAGCTGACTTTCCCATGCCAAGCATAAGGCTGTTGCGAGGCGGCTGTCTCTCTAATTTCATGTTATGCCACGGTCCCTGTCTGGTGTTATGTCACATGCCCACCATCCTGCCGCCACCATGGCAGCTACTTTGTGACTGGTGCCACCCGCACTCCCCCCAAATCTGAAGCATGCCCTGAAACGTTCTGCCATAAAGCAAACCCCAAAAGCTAAGGATTCCCCAAGTTCCCTACTCCCATATCAGAACGAGATCCAGGAGCACTAAGGATCTGCATGCTTGGACATCTGCCAAAGGCCAGCAGCCCAGCAAGGGAGCTACTGACAAGAACGCCCCTCGGGCCTGCTCCTCCTGTCCAGCACTGCGTGAGCCACTAGTTCTCACTCTGGTCCAGACAACCGTGCTGGTGCCCAAGAGAGGTGGGTGTTGCTGCCTGCTTGCTCAGCAGCTCTATACCTTGCAAGGAAATAGGTGGAAGCAGTGATGAGGAAGAGGAGCAGCAGCAGCTGGTGGGCATAAGGATATAGGCTCCCAAAGGGAGGGAGCAGGGGGCCCAAGAATTGCACCTTGCCCAAGGGACCTGCAAAACCTGGAGCAGAGAGCAGCCAGATCATTGACTTGCACTTCAGCTAAGTGCAGAGAAAGGGAATATATCACCTACCTGGAAGTCTTCTGGAATTGGCCCATAAGGGAAGCTGATGTTCAGTGCTGCAACATCCTCCCTATGCCTGATGTCCATCCAGGGATTGTAGGCCACAGAAGGGAGCCCTTTAGGAACATCAGGATCAGGGGCCAGTGTGATGTTTTCCCAGGGGTATAATTTGAGAAATTCCTGGAGCAGAGATTTCAGAAGAGCCATTTCAAGGCTTGCAAACAAAAACAGGCTGCAGGTTTTCTACTGCTGTTCTGCAGTGGTTCTTACGACCAGGCAACATGCTGTGTTTGGCGTGTGGCAGCAGCCGTGTTGTGACTAGGGAGAACTTTGAAGAACCCCATGTAGATGGAAACTCCACCCATGGGAGCCACTGACTGCATCACCCACCTGTGAAAATTGGTCCCTGTGGGTGCGGGGAGATAAGGCTCCAACCCATTGACCGGATCCAGTTCCCCACACAAATTCAAATTCTCAAACCTTTATTGGAACATACCATAAAATCACTCATCAAAACCTGCATCTAACACTTGAGTTAATGTTGTATAACATTCGCAAACCCTCGCTGCATGTTGCAGAAACCTGGCTAATATCTCCATCTTATCCCCATCCTGAGAAAACATAAGGAAGGCTACTTTCCATTCCTCTGCATGCTACTCCCTACTAACAACCAACTGATTATAAACGTAGATCAAATTGTCTGATGCCAGGGCCAGTGCAAAAGAACATGCATGACTGATTCTATCTGCCTCTGTCCGCAGGGGCACGGTCTCTCTACAAGTTGTATTTTCAGGAATTTCCCCTGTTGCATTGCCAAAGGCAGCATGTTCAGTTTCGCTAGCATTGATTCGGATGGTCAAATGGGAGAGATAAGTCACCACTGGCTGTCCACCTCGCAGTTTCCCATACTTGATCTAGAGGGGCAAGCAACCAAACCATTTTTGGCCAACCAAATTCCAAACCCCATGTGATTTTCATTGATCTAGAACAACTGTCTAGGACTGCACATTTCTTTCAGACGGGCTCTTCTATTCAAGCTTCCTTACCTGGGGGTACCTGAATGGAATATGGGGTTTGTGATACCCAACAGCCAGGAAGAACTTGCTCTTGCTCTCCTTCACAATGTTCAATAAACGAATCGCTTCCTCAGTGCTCTGGATATCTGGCAAGGTCCCCTCGGGCATCTCTGAAACATCCACTGGGCAGATAAGGTTGGCGTGAAGTTCTCCATCTTTCCCTTGGCAAACCTTTAAAAGAAGAAAACAGTCTCCTGAGAGGGGCACTGGGATCAAAAACAAATCACAAGGCAAAAAGTCCCAGTGAAATCAACACAAGCCTATTGTATTGATTCACAAAGTCCTTAACAACTTGGAACTCGGATACCTTAAGGATCTCCTGATACCCTCCGGATATCCTTGCCTTATCCCTTAGGTCTTCAGCAGAGTCACTGTTAGTGGTCCTCCCATGGAATGGAAGCATGTTCCCTGTCGAACGTCTGGCACCTGCCACCCCCAAGCGAATTGCTTATGGGTAGCTTGCGCAGCTGGGAGGGTCTTTGGGGCCTTCATCTCCCCCTGCCCACACCACTTTGACTGCTGCTACTCATGTATGAAGACTTTCTTAATGGTCTCGTGAGTAAACAAAAATATGTCCCTATAACCTGCCAAAGTCATTTCCCCATATATCTCATCTCCCCTCTTTCTCCAAAGCCCTCCTCAAAATCTAACCCTTCCCCATGGACTTTGGCTTATCTTCTTAATTTTCATTCCCAGCTATCTCCAAACTTTATTTAACTGTAGCTGCAATTGTGCACATACACTCCTTCTTATCCTCATCTCATTCCAATGTATTTCTGCTTTACAGTTAGATTAGACCTGAATTTGTATGCTACTTTGAACACAAATTTATGTTTCAGGGAGAGGCAGAATACAAATTATTTTTCTTTACTTATTATTTCATTCCTTTTTTCCATTTTTATACCACCCATATAACAAGAATTCTCCATGTAGTTTAGAAACCATTAAAAACGATAATGCACAGTACAACATTTGAATGATAAACACACTACAACCCATCTACTATATATTTTGGAAAGTTGTTTGTTCGCCATGCATTTGGGCTCCTTAAGATATTGTCATCAATTTTTTTATGATGGTTCCTGGGATCAAGGAGAAGGGTTTTTTTTTTAATCTATGTTTGGATGCAGCCGGATGCCATTTTAAATCAAGATGGCAGATTGAACCTTTCCATCTGATTTTAACCACTGACTTAGAAACTGATGTTTGTTTGTTTCTTAGAATTCCCAAGCAACAATGGGTATGTGGGTGCTGGTTATAAATAAATCAAAAGCTTTATTGTTGGCTAAATCCAACAAAAATTAAAGTCTAGTTTGGTTTAAATTTGCACTACTGGCTTTAGGTTGCAACGTCCTTGAAAGCAAGACTTGTCCAGTAGCACAAACCTACACACGCCTATTTAGAAGGCAATATCACTAAGTTCAATTAAGATAATTCCCAAGTTAACTAGGCACAGCACTGTAGCCTCCATATCTCTGCGAACCAGCCACGCACACCAGCAGTGCAGCCCAGTTAATAATGCTAGAAATAATTAGCCATAGCATCCATTCACCTTTGTGTTTTCGTATTTTTCGGATGAGGGATGAAAAGCAGGGGTGGTCCAACTGTACGGATAGTCATCGTTATGGTTTGATGAAACCCCTGAAAAACAGAAGCAGCAGAATAAATGTCCAGGAGTGGAGTGGGGGAATCCTTTCAAATTAATTCTCCAAATTCTAAAAGCCACCCGGCTTACGGAAAAGTGGGTTCTGCAGATCTCATCCTTCCAATTCAGAGCTTACCTGGGTGAAACACTTTCCCTACGGAGAGGGTGATGTAGCCATTTTCCTGGAAGTACTGTGGCAACGTGGAATAATTTCCCGCGTGCGCTCTCCAGTAGGAATTAAAATCATAGAGCCTGGTGGTGTCTGGTCTCCGCCCAGTGAGGAATGACACTCTGCTTGGGGCACAGACAGCTTGCTGGGGGGAAAGGAGAGGAAGGCCATAGCTCAGTGGTAGACAATAGTGTGGTGGCAAATTCAGAAGTGCAAGATCCCCTCATGATAGTCGCAGCTACACCCCAGCTGCACCCCCTACTAAGATTATACAACCTACTAAGTTTTTACAATGAGGGATGGATTGTAATGATCCACACAGATCCCATATGTTGCCTTTCAGCTGTTTTCTATACATGTGCATAGGCAAATGGTTTGGAGGGCTCCAGTAGCTTCTTTTAGAGTGACGTAAGTTGTGTTTTCCATGAAGTTGCATTGTATGTAACATGACTTGCTCACCATTCTCTTGGAATGGAAGCCCCTCGTGCTTTTGGTGTTCCTAAATGCTTCCCTTTGGAGCACACAGAGGCCAAGAATCATCCCTTTGATGCTGATTGGCTCAGGGATGCCAGAGACAGGGACTCTCCTGCAGAAATAGCAACAAGTCTTTGACCTCCTGCAGCCCTGGACCACTGGCAGAGCACATGCTTTGAATGCAAGGCGTCTCAGGTTCAGTCCCTGATAGCTCCAGGCAAAGGCTGAAGGGACAGTCCTTTCTCTGCCAAAGGACACAGAAACTGTTTTGAGGACCACGTTCTGTCAAGGAGAATCTGTTGGAGCCTAGATGCTGACTGCGAGTGGGAGAAAGAACCAGTAGCAGCCGGGGCTTCTCTCTTTTTCTCTCTGCCATCCCTTTCCCTCCCAGTTTTTCCTTCCTTTGCCACTGGCATGAAATAAGACCAAGGGCTGATGTGAGTCAGAGTGGACAACACTGAGCTCTAAAGGCAAACAGTCCACTTCAGTGTAAAGTAGCTCTCTGGTACTAATCTGAGCAAGCAAGCAAGCAGATTCATAGGACAGCATGTAGTCTCTCGTCAAGTGGCCTTCACTATCAGTTTGAAGCAGGAACATCCAACATCTTTGTTGGTTGCTAAGACACCTCAAGGACATGATATTAATAGCCTCCCCCGCTCCAGCAATTGCTATTCAGTGGCAAACCACTGAGTGCTCCTGAACATCTGAGCCAATCCCGCGAAGAGGCCAGACCCCTGCCTTCCCTACCTGCCACCCTATGGCCTACCTTTGACAGACAGGGACGGCTTTTTATTAAATTATTATTATTAAATTTTATTTATACCCCACCCTCCCCAGCCAAGACCCGGCTCAGGGCGGCTAACACCAGGTATAAAACAATTAATTGAACTACAACTTAAAAACAAGATTAAAATACAACATTAAAATGCAGCCTCATTTCAGTAGGAACTCAAATCAAAAACATTTTTTGTGGATGAAAACATCAAGTCTTCACCAAGGCCACCTGATTTCACAATGAACTGATATTTAAGCATCAAGTGACACATTTTCCTCTGCCCAGCCAGTTTGTACGAAGACACATTGCAGCAAAAATCATGAACAGCCTTGGATAACTCCATTCTCCATGACTACGACTAATCCTTTAGGATTAGTCAACACCTGCCATATGAAAAAGGGGAAAACTGTAAATGGCCTTGCAGATTGTCGTCAGCAGAGAAACATGAGATTACCAACATATGACTATAATGGGTTGGTAGACATTTTGTCTACACAAAGTGACACAACCTGAGCACCAGAAACAGAGGGAGTGGTAAAAGTTTACATAATGTTGTGTTGCTTACTTGTGCAAAAGCATTTTGGAATACAACGCTGCGTGAAGCCAACTGATCAATGTTTGGAGATCTCACTACTGGGTCGCCGTAAGAGCCCAATGCAGGCCGCAGATCGTCAGCAACGATGAAAAGGACATTCATGCCATCTTGAAAGCCAAAGAGTTAATAGGAAAGTGTTAGCACTATCAGTCAATGCTTTAGACGGAAACAATGAGAAGAGTGGGATGTATCAGTCGCTAATTTTAACTGCTTAACCCTGTTAGAAAAACTAGCAGCAGATCAACGCCCCATGTACAATAATACCATTTTAAAGGGATTAACACCATCAAACTAACTTAAGGGATATTTAGGCATTCTTCCAAAGGGATTGAAGAAATAAATGGCACCGTTGCAATGTAATGCGCTGAGCATTTTAGTATTCAAGGCAGAAATCCTACAAAGACCTATGCCAATTGAGTTCTTCTTCTTCTTCTTCTTCTTCTTCTTTGGCGATCACTTGTAGCCGAGTAAGATTGTCTTCCATAAACACGGTTTTAAAAGTGAGTCTGTAAGTGACTGTGGAGGCCAATTTTGACTGCCCAGATAAATTTGTGAACACTATTCAACTCCTCCATGATAATATGACAGCAACAATCACAGATAACAATGGCTGTCAAAGTGAACCATTCACTATGAGGATGACAACACAGTGTGTGCACACTCTGAGGATGACCTCCAAACCATCCTAAATATCTTTGCAATTGAGCTAATAATGAATTTAATAACTGACCCCCTGCTAACCTCCCATGACACCCCAAACTACCTCACAGACCTTATGAAATTTATATGCCGCTTGATTGTAGAATACCTCAGAGCAGTTTGCAAAATTAATCAAATAGGATTAAACCAGCTGCATGGGGTGCTGGCCTCAAGCTACCTAACCGCAGTGACCTCCGGACAGTCCTGGACAGTCTCCCTTCTGCAGGCAACAGTTCTTGATAAAGGCACCTGGATCCTTCTGCTCACCTGATTTGCACTCCATTCACCCTGCAAACTCCTCACAAGTAGATTTTCCCAACCTGGCGATCTCCAGAAACTACCGGACTGCAACTCCCATCTACACTAGTGGACCCCGTCAACGGTCAGGGACAATAGGGGTTGCGGTACAAAATACCTGCAGGGACAGCCAGGTTTTGGGGTTTCTTTTTGGGGGTGGGGGGTGGAGAGGCACTGCTAGCATCCCAAGCTCCCAAACTCATACCCGTCCCGAATTCCCCGCTCCCCATCTATCGGCAAGCGGCGGGTCCTGCTTCTGGGCTTTCCCCGACAGCCACGGGACGCCTCGGATCATTCCCTGCACGATCACGCCCTCCAACCCCGCTAAACTTCCTCTTTTGCCCGCCCCGCTTCCAACAGCACCTGACGGTGGTCTTCCTGCCCGGACGGATCCAGCAACGCAAAGGAGGCAGAACGCAGCAGCGACGCGCGCCCGCCACTCCATCCCCATCTCTGAGGAGCCGCTGAGCTGCGCTCCCTTCCAGAAAGAGACCAGGGGAGCAATGGGGATTGCCGGGATCCTCCCACTTCGACCCGACAGGAGGAGCGGGGGAGGAAGCGGGCGCGGGGCGGCGTTCCGGGGCTCCACCCCGCAAGAGGCTGGGCTCTGGAGGTGCCTCCTGCGATCTGGAAGAAGCGGCCAGGCTGCCGGCGGCCGGGAGAGGGCGCAGCCGAGGTTCCTGCGCCTTTCTGCCGATCCTTGGTGCGCAGAGCATAGGATCGAACTGCGAGGTCGCCGTCCTATTACGCGCTGCCCTGAGAGTCAGCGCCGTTGTTCTCCTTGGCATTTACGAGTTGCATTGCGAGCAGATGTTGCACGAACATCTGGGTGGCTTTAATTGGGGTCGTGCTAATGAAACGTGGCCTTTTTGCTGATCAGAAGGTCGGCGGTTCGAATCCCCCGACGGGCTGAGCTCCCCTTGTTCGGTCCCTGCTCCTGCCAACCTAGCAGTTCGAAAGCACATCAAAGTGCAAGTAGATAAATAGGTACCGCTCCGGCGGGAAGGTAAAGTTTCCATGAGCTGCTCTGGTTCACCAGAAGTTGCTTAATCATGCTGGCCACATGACTGTATGCCAGCTCCCTCAGCCAGTAAAGCCAGATGAGCGCCGCAACCCCAGAGTCGGTCACGACTGGACCTAATGGTCAGGGGTCCCTTTACCTTTAAACAAGCTATAGCTTAGGGCCCCACTCTCTTGGGGACCCCCCCAAAAATTCACTATTAATATACTTCTCCCTAATTGTATTTCAGTTCAACAATTACTTTGATAAAATACATATTTTGTTATGTGCAAATGGCTTTAGATACCTTTTAGGTCCATAAATTACCATATAGCATATATTCAACACAAAAAACAGCAACAATTTGTTGTTGACAAAGGACAGCTGGACATATAAAGGCCCCCATTACCTTCAGTAGCTTAGGGCCTCATCAAATCTAAATCCAGCCCTGGGCATAGCCGGGGGGGGGCAGCTGCCCCCCATCAAGTAAAACAATAGAAATACCTAACTAACTACAGTGGTACCTCAGGTTAAGAACTTAATTCGTTCCAGAGGTCCGTTCTTAACCTGAAACTCTTCTTTACCTGAAGCACCACTTTAGGTAATGGCGCCTCCTGCTGCTGCTGTGCTGCCACTGCATGATTTCTGTTCTCATCCTGAAGCAAAGTTCTTAATCCAAGGTACTATTTCTGGGTTAGCAGAGTCTGTAACCTGAAGCATCTGTACCATGAAACATCTGTAACCTGAGGTACCACTGTAACCAGTAACGTCGGTTCCCCCCTCCCCCCGCGCTAACAAAAGTCCTGCCCCCCCAACAAAAATCCTTGCTATGTCCATGGCACCTCCCCAAGTGAAAAAAACCACTGCATTAGCAGTATTGAAGTGACCTTCCTGGGGCGCAAGCCTGGGCAGCATGTATGGAGGTCCTGGACTGCCAAGACAACAAGATCCGCCCCCGCCCCCCCGCCTCACTGGTGTGGTCCAAAGGAAAGTAGAGGAAGACGCTTGGCACCAGCTTGGCTGCAGGAGTTGCCAGAAGGAGGCTTAAAGAAGGAAAGGAAAGGAAAGAAAAAAGAATAAAACAAAATTTTTGATAAAATCAATTAAAACAACTAATTTCGAGCATTGGAAAAAAAAAACCACAGAAGATAAAAAAAAAGAAAAACAGACTCAAAGAGTCTTCCAGTCCCTCAGCCCCTCTTTGCACTATTTGGGTTTGGAAGCAGCCAGCCAGAAACTCCCCTAAGGTGAAACATCTTTTCCCTCATACCATCATTGTCCACCAGGTGGCAGCAATGCCCCAATAAACAGGCCTTCTCTGTATACTCTGATCTCATATTTAACTATGACTTGCAGCCTAGCCCTGCGATGAGCTTCCATACGTGTCATTGAAGGGGGTCTGATTTGTAGGAAATGGTGTCTGTCTCAGGAGAGGAAGGCAAGATCTTACAAGTTTGTCTCATGCATCCAGCAAAGAATTTTGATCAAATGATACCAGTTGCCGGGATCCAGATGTTGGGCTCAGGCAGCCATTTGAATGGGAGGGGGGTTCCAGTGACCCTTTTTTTAGAAGGAAAAGGGGCGTGATTTTGATCAAATTAGGGGGAGGGCTTGTGGGTTTCATTAAGGGCCACATTTGTTCCCCCCATAATGTGAGCACCATCTCTGAGACAAAGTGAACAGAGAATAACTACTGAAGTTTTTCCCTTCCACTCGACACCTGAGATATTCCCTGACTGCAGAGTGGAAGGGAAAAACTTCAGTAGTTATTCCATCCCACTATGGTCCTAACATCCCATAAGATGTAATAATAATAATAATAAATTTTATTTATATCCCGCCCTCCCCAGCCGAAGCCGGGCTCAGGGCGGCTAAAAACACTAAAATAGTGCAACATTATAAAAACATTATAAAAATTAATTAAAATCAAAATTGATGGCAACCATAAACTAAAGTTTTGTAAAGATTGCCAAAGGAGGGAGTCAGGCTGCGCCCTGACCAAAGGCCTGGTGGAACAGCTCTGTCTTGCAGGCCCTGCGGAAAGATGTCAAGTCCTGCAGGGCCCTTGTGACAGAGCGTTCCAACAGGTTGGAACCGCTGCCGAAAAAGCCCTGGCTCTAGTTGAGGCCTGTAGTGATACTTCAAATTGGGCCACTGCTGCATGAAGACATTCCTGCTTATTCTGCCAAGTAGGGCCCAGGAATCGTGCAGCCTGGTGCAATTGCCTCATTTCACCCAATAGTAGGGCCAGCTTGGCACCATTGCTACAAGTCCAAACCTTAGTCTTGATATGGGTAGCGCAACAGAAGAATTCACATCTTCTTTCCCCCTTGAAGTGCATGATCCCAAAGGCCAAACACAAGATGGGAAGAACCTAAGAAGAGCTGTGCTGGCCAGAGGACCACCTAGTCTAGCATCCTTGGATCAAATCTATGTGTCCAGGTGTCATAAGAAAGCTGCAGAGATAGTGCAGGATAATGCGCACCCCGGAAATGATCTCTTTCAGCTTCTGCCTTCTGGAAGAAGGTACAGGATTATAAAGACTAGGACTAGCAGCCTGAGAAACAGTTTCTATCCAAATGCAGTTTTGGTTTTAAACGCAGTGTAAGGTAGTCTCTATACGATACGATGTATCTTTATTGTCACTGTCCCATGCAGGACAATGAAATTGCAAAACTACATAAAAACTACATAAAACTACCACAAAACTACATAAAACTACTACAAAACTACATAAAACATTCAAAAACCCCTAAAATAAAACCCTATTTTAAAATACACTATACTGTAGAAACCGCTTATGCTGTGTTTAGAACCAGAATTGCATTTGCATAGAAACTGTTTCTCAGGCGGCTAGTCCTGGCTTTTATAACCCTATACCTTCTTCCAGAAGGCAGAAGCTGAAAGAGATCATTTCCGGGGTGCGCATTATCCTATGCTATCTCTGCTGCTTTCTTATGGCACCTGGCAGCATAGATTTGATCTAAGGTGGGAAGAGTGCACCCAATTATTCTCTCTGCAGTCTTTACAACCCTGGATAGCATTGTTTTTTCCCTGGCCGTGCAGCTCCCAAACCATACACACAGACCATAAGTTAGTACGCTCTCCACAGTGCAATGGTAAAATGCCATCAACAGGTCCTTTGAGAGATTGTTTTTCCGCAGGATTCTCAAAAAATATAACCTCTGCTGTGCTCTCTTCACCAGGTCTTTGCTGTTCTCTCCCCAGGTTAGGTCGTCTCTCAACTCCATTCCCAGAAATCGAAACACCAAGACCTGTTCCACGCACTTCCCCTCAATAATAAGTGGCTGAATATTCAATTTACATTTCCTAAAGTCCACAATGATCTCTTTTGTTTTCTTTAAGTTAAGGAGTAAATTGTTTTTCCTGCACCACTCCCCCAACTGCTCAACTTCCTTCCTATAGGCCGCCTCCCCCTCTCCAGCTGTGATTAAACCAACCACCATTGTATCATCTGCGAACTTAATGATCTTATTACTGGGGTATTTGGGGGCACAGTCAGCTGTATAGATCATATATAAAAGCGGGCTCAACACGCACCCCTGCGGCGTCCCCGTATTCGTGATGAGATCCGCAGAGACGTGGGAACCCAACCTGACCCTTTAGGAACGGTTTGATAGAAAATCTAATATCCACCTGCACAAACATAGTGGGAGTCCCAGGTCTAATAATTTGGGCACCAATCTATGCGGAAGAATAGTATTAAATGCAGAACTAAAGTCTACAAATAACAGTCTCGCATAGTTCCCTTGCTTCTCCAAATGAGTCAGGACAGCATGAGTATATTGTATGGGAGTATATTGTATTTAATTATGGGGTATCAGAGTTTTTAGGGGGCTAAACAGGCTGGGATAGCTGGGATAGCAGGCTTGTTGGTTATTGAACATCTGATGTAAAAAATTTTCAATTTCATTGTTCTGTATGGGACAGTGACAATAAAGATTATCGTATCGCATCCTCTCATAGTGGACAACCAGATGTCTATGAGGAGCATGTAAGCAGGACCTGAGCACAACAGCGCTTCCCCCACTTGTGATTCCTAGCAACCAGTCCTCAGAAGCTGCCTCCAATAACGGAGCATTAAAAATCCCTCAAATTGGGTCTACTAGACCCCAAAACGATAAGCAAGGTGGACTACAGTTGCTCCTGGGGCCCCTCTAGGATTGGGCCCCTGAAGCTGAAGCTTCATTCGTTTCATAGCAGAGCTGCCCCTGGCTATATCTGAGCCAAGGTCTTATTTGGGATGGTCTGCTAGCTCAGAGGAGTAGCATGTGGTCAGGTCACAGGCAGCTTTTAAAAGGGATTATGCAGGTGCATGGAGGAAAAGGCTCCAGATCAGAATACCAGTGATTCCCAGAGTGATCTGACCAGCCGCTGTAGGAAGCAGGAGGCTCCATCAGATTGGTCTGATCCAGCAGCCTCAGCCTGTTCCCTCCCTGCTTGCGATAAAAAGGAATATCCCTCCAGCTCAGTTTTTCGTTTTATTTTAAGGCCGGCACTCATTACCCATGCTGCTCAAACTTTGCTGTCTTTGTTATTTAAGACACATCCTA